CCTTTGGCAATACTATTCTCCATATGTGTGTCATCAACTATAGCAGTGTGAGTGTTTGGAACAACATCTTATCTCAGGACATTTTTTTTCTGCAAAAATAAAAGTCCAACTTCAGTCAATGTACTCCTACGCAGTGCGACATTGGGCCAAACCTGCCGATCCACATGTTATCAACCATGCTGGTCTTACTCCACTTACTCTTGCCACCAAGTTGGGTAGAAAACACATTTTTGAGGAAATGCTCGAACTTATGAAAGTGGTAAGTTGTTAGTTTGCGCACACGATAGCAAACTTCAGATTTTGAAGTGTAGTGATCTGTTTATCCATGATCGTAAGTTCATGTCTTCACTTTTAGGAGTTCTGGCGATTTTCTGACATGACTTGCTCAGCTTATCCATTGAACACCTTAGACACCATACAACCGGATGGATCTACCAGTAAGTTTACGTCTGCAGTTCTGTTCTCGTCAGTCCAGCTAAAAATCATGTCCTCATTTCGTATAAATGGTACTGTAGCCTCGGTAAAAGCTCGTGTGTGAATTTTACTCCGAAATGTGCGTAAGACTCGTATTCGGTCTGATAGTATTTTTAAGTACAGATCGAGACTCTCAGCGTTCGATCGGTAATAATTGTGGGAAATAGGAAGTGGAGAGGAGTGTGAGAACGTGGGAGAAGTGAAACTCTGAGAGAAGCATGACGTCATTTTTCTTGTCCATATTTTTTTTGAATTACCGAATGTGTGGTACAAGTGTATTTTGCTATCTGAAGTTCATTGATGAAAAGGTTGGAGCGCACATCATCTGCCATTGAAGGAAAATTACCAATCTAAATCATATAAATGCTGAGCCACCATTCTTATTTTTATGCGCTACTAGAAAGCATGCAAATTCCGAGGCTGCTCACCAACCCACGTTTGTTGCCTTGAAGAATTGCACGGTTTTCCAGATTATGATTCCGCCCTCATGACTGTCATTAACGGTAACACTGCCGAACATCTGGATATGATTGGAAGTGAGGTCATTCAGCGTCTGCTAGCAGACAAGTGGAAAGCCTTTGCCATGGTGAGTGGGAAGTGGCTGCAGAAATGACAATTCGACTTTTTCTATCTATATCACGTTTTAGCGAAAGCTGATTGAACGATTGGCCCTACTGGTGTTGCAGTTGATCACATTATCCATCGTAGTTTATGTGCGACCAACTGAAACAGCTCGTCTATATATGAGTGATCCTCAGTGGGACGATTGGGTAAGTTTTTGGAGAAACAATCTCTAGAAAAAGCAGACCTGTACAGACTTGAGAAACGGAA